AGCATTAAAATATATTTAAATATTCTAAGGTAAATGTAGTTATTCTGCAGAATAAGCACACGCCCTTTGCGCAGACTCAGGAAAGATCTTGCGTCGTCATCCAGCACCCACTGTTCTCAACCCGGAAATCAATTTATTGATCCCTCTGTGATGCATAAAACTGCTTATCATTACAACATTAATGGTGTTTAGACTGAACCAGCTGCTTCTCTCTGCTGCACTTATTAAAATGTTCTTATTATGTGACAGAATTCCTAAAACAATCATAAATCAGATGATACGCAGACACACACACTGAGATATCTGTTACAAAACATCAGTATTAAAACAACTCACCTTTACATAACAGCTCTGCTTTTTCTTTTCTGCTTCACGCTTTTTTCTTCTTTATGCAGTAAATTTACGGACAAACCGTCCTGTAGATCTCCAAATGTGGCAGCAGTGAGAGCGCTCCTGCTATTCTGTTGGTGTTGGGGAACTATGATCATTTTCACTTTTGGTTTAATGACCACGTGACAAGTCTCTACGTTTTTTTAATTTACAAAAAAAATAAATAAATAACGGCAAATTACCAAGAACAAAGTTTCCGTTTTCATTTTCCTAACTTCGAATGGATCAGATATTAGAAAAGGCAAGGCACACGTTGGAATCAACGTTTATCCTTAAAATGAAGCATAAAGAAATAGAAGAATTGCAGATGGTAAATATTCTGAATTATTTTTGTTATTATATGTTCGAGTCCGTATGTCCTGAATATAAAGCTTCTTGTTTTCGCTGTTTATATATTTTGCGTTCATTCATTTTATTTCAGAAAGTCTTAAAGCCGCAGGCATCAACACGCCTGAAGGCGGCGCTGTGACCCACCTTTCCCCAGCCAGTTATCGAGCTTCCGGTACGCAGAGAATAAACTACCAGTTTATCTAGGGAAGCTTGCGGTACAGCTTAAAAAACATGCTCCGTATAAACTGGCCATGATATAAAGAGACATTGTGATCTGAGTCTGTGCTCTGAAGGTAAGAGTACTCCCAGGATGGAGTGACACAGAGGAAACACTCGTGTTTCATTTACACGGTTAGCTTAGCTTAGCCACTGCACTGTTGTTTATAGCGTTAGCACGTTGTTAGCGAGTTGCTCCTAGAGAAGTACATCTTTATCAGTGTTAGATTGAGACACTGGGTTTGTTTGGGATACGGACGTTATCGTTACTGGAAGATGTGATAACTTTAAGAGCTCACCAGCACAGCTCAGGTGAGCGTATCTGTAGATGTTTGTATGTATTTTCATTTCGAAACTCATTACCCGAGTTATACAGGGACCGTTCTCATCTTTCGCTCTTTTTGTTGTTGAATTCACTTTTATCTTGGGCCAGCTTGAACAGCTGCAAACCATAAGATGATTAAAAATCTAAAAATATTATTTGATTTATTTTTCATGCATTAATTTTTTTATTTAGTCATGCACAAATAAGGTGATTTATATTCGTGTGTTCTTAAGGTATTTTTCCTACTACCAACGAAACGATATAAATTAACTGAGATTTTACAGGAAGTGACTATATTTGCTAATGTGACTCCTACTTATTCTCTTTAAGCTTAGCCTTTTAACCAGAGTCCTTAAGTTCCACTAAGTGAAATGGAAAATGCATGACAGAAACATGCACTACAGGGTAGACTGTTTACCACTGGGTAAATACTGAGCAGATACTGCAGATAAACTACAGATACATTTATTCAACTTCAAATTTACTAACAGATGATAAACTTGATGGATAAAATGCAAGAATCTTAAATTGGTTTCAGCTGCACCACCGTCATCAGAAATACTCCCTTCATCTCCAGCATGGCATCATGATGAAATGGGTTTTTAAAAATGAATCATAAATAACAGGAAATTTCCATCAGTGAGTCCACAGATAAATGATTGTCCACAGCTCAGTACAGGTTTTTTGAAACCGTGATTACTTCATACCGTGGCGAGCAGCTTATTGACAACCTGACAGCTGCCTTCATGTCTACGGAGCAACATAGCAACAACATCACTACATAAAAATGCAGGTTAAAGTGTTCCAGCATGTACTCTGATATTGACTGGATGAAATGAAAGTGTGTGTCAGCTAAATACTTTATTTGCAGCAGGAGAGAAGGCGTCAGAAACTTGAAGTTTATCAAAAAAAAAAAACCTGCCACTGAGCTCGCTGATGTCAGCTGCTGGGGTACAAACTCAGGCCTGTGTTTAAATTAACTTAGTGAACAGGAAATGGTGGACTTCTCTCATCCCAGGGTTACGTCTGTTTTCACTTAACCTGCGCTGTAGAGACTCCGGATGCTTAAATGTTGAAATGTTGTGTATATGTCACCTTACTGTCGGTTTTCTATGTGCAGATATAGAGATGATGCGTTAGATCCATTCTGAATAGTATTTCTGAAAGGTATCCTGAGGCTAATCTGACCATGTTACACCACCTTCTGTCTACTTTCCTCAGCTTCTTCGTGTGGCCCCACCTGCTACCTCAACTTGATCCCCTGGCACAAATCTAAACATGACAGAGCCACGCAACCCCAGTATGTCCTCCATCCCTCAGACGGGCCCTGCACACACAGACTCCAGCTCACCTGCTGTTGAGATGGACCCAGTGGAGTACACACTAAGGAAGCGTCTTCCCCGGAAGCTCCCAAAAAGACGCAACGACGTCTACGTCAACATGAAGACGGACTTCCGGGCTCAGCTGGCGCGCTGTCAGAAGCTTCTGGAAGGTGGGGGTCACAGAGAGATCTGTGTTCACGGCTTGGGCCTGGCCATCAACCGGGCTATTAACATTGCCCTTCAGCTGCAGGCCAGCAGTCAGGGGGCGCTACAGCTGGCAGCCAACACCTCCACAGTGGAGCTTGTGGACGACCTGGAGCCCGAAGATCCGGACGAGGCCGGAGAGCCGATGACGCGTACACGTAACAATTCGGCCATTCACATAAAGGTGTTCTATCCTGACGCTCAGTGACCAATCAGGAGGTTTCCTGTGGATCAGCCTGAGATTCTCCATTAGTCCTCAGGCCCTGTTTGTTCCTTCGTTAACCAGTAGATCACAAACACTGAGTTTATGTGGAGAGCCACCTTTGCTATTCTTGTATTGTATACATTTTTCAGCCTGCATGCTTTGGAGCAACACTAGTGTGCACTATAATTTATACATATGTGGCTGTGCCAACTTTTTTTTTTTATATGTGTATAATGTTTGTGTGTTCAGGTTTTAAAGATGCCGATAAGAAAGCAGCAAACAGGTGTTATTGTTGTAAATCTCCACTAGGTGGCAGTAGCAGCTACAATAAACATGCCAGGAAGTTGTTACTCTGCAGACTAACTTCTATAGCTCCATCACAACAGTGTTTTGTCAAATTGTTTACAGTGTGAGTTCAGCTGAGGGTCACTGAGACGTAGACTCTGTTTAAATGTGATTTGTGTCTCTGAACTGCTGCTCAAAATGTATATAATGAATGCTGGATTGTTTGAAATCTGGGTAAAAATAAAAACTTGCCAGAGTGTATCTTTCTTTAACTGTTATTTCTGTATTCGTGGCTGGAAAATTTGTATGCGGAACCAGTAAATTCTGCTGTGGCAGCTTGTACTTGTGCTTGCTTGTTCACCCCATCGAGAGGGGGAAAAAAGGCAAAAATAATGAATGAGATGCACAAACTTCCCCTTTGTTGTGTTTCCATCCATCCTTTCTTTATCCGAGAACAACATTTCGTATTTAAATAGGGAATCATACAGTGATGGGACAAAACAACACAAAACAGGAAAGAAAACGCATACAAACATCCTTAAAAACATCTTGCACTTGCACGACAAGATATAAAAATAAGGGGAAAAAACAAGGAAGAACACTTAACTAATCTGAAACAGTTGAGCATCCATTTTACAGAAAGCCTCGAGTTCCCAGGGCTCGCTGATTGCCTGGCTGAGGTTTGATGACGAACAATAGAGGGAGGGAGAAGACGGCGTCGCGTCAGCCTCTGGAAAACTATTTGCAATTACAGCCACACAGGATGTAAATTGTAAGTTTTTCCAGACAGTCTGGCTATCAGCGTGTAGAGACTGGGTGAGTGTAGTCAGGCAAAAACAACAACACGGACAATGACGTAGCAGCTTCACAGTTCTCATGTAACCCTCCTCACTGACCTCTCACACCCCCAAACTCACTGGAACTGAACATCAGCTATGTAAGCCTTTGTTATTTGGAAAGGACATGCAGTGTCAAACAGCCAATCAGGTACACACAATCATCAAAAAACTAAAGAAGAAAGAGCAGCAAACACCTTTGCAAATGTGTTCAGTGTTACACAACAAAACATGACAAAGAGCCCAACTAGCATGTTAGACCTGACACTACGTCAAAGATTGAGCTTAAAGTAGAAAAATCTGTATAAATAGTAATTCCTCAACTTAAAAATATATTAAAATATTCACTGAAAAAAATCTGAGAGACTGTGTCTGTGAGGCAAAGTTGAAAAATGTGGAAACCATGAGTGAGGCCACGTTAGTTTCTGCCTCCAGTAGTGAAATTGATGCCCAGGTGTAGTCAGTATTAACTGGGTGTTTCCCTCTAAAGAAATAAGTGTAAGGGTCAGACTCGCTGAAAACAGACGCACACGGACAACACTGAAACGTTCAGTCTTAGCTCACCCACACTGAAGTACATTCACACACAAAGTGCAAGAGAGTGCCAGTAAAACAGCTATTGGAGCAGTGCTTCCCAAAAGCATCACTTTGGTCTTTGTCACCGTGTCCATGAGTCACATCTACTTTCCAAGGTGCGTTCATCTCCTGTCCATCCAAAGCGTTGCTGAGACAGTCCTATCCTTTCAGCTCTTCCTCTGCATGCGACGACTGCTGCGTCTTTCTCATTCCACACCGCTTCCAGCAGCGTGCAGGTTAACCAGTGTCACATTTCTCCTCTTGCCTTTGGAAACACAAATTTCTTCGCCCGGGATGGGGCGATCGGTCGATCAGCTGACATCTTGCTTGCATGCCTGTGCACTTGAAAGAAGAAGGTGCACTTTGCCTCGCAGGAAGTTGACGTGGACCTGAAGCAGATCTGTTGCTAAGGACACCCTCCATGTTCCCTCAAGGTCTGTTGCATTTGCTGGTGGTGTAAATTCCTGAAAGAGAATACAAAGAAACACGATGTGACCCCTGAGTCATGTTCTTACGACAGGAGTTTGTCCTTCAGGACAGTTTAGACCTGAATGTCTGTGACTGTGCTCCGTTTGTCTGTTGCCAAAGAAAGAGTCTCTATTTCACTTTAATGCAATAAGTGAGACCATCTTAGAAACAAATGCACTGTCTCTAATCATCAAGTACATACCTTTCCCCACATTTTCCAGATTTTTTTAACAGTAATATTATTTTTTATATGGTTTATGCAAAGTAGCAATGATAAGAATAAAACATGCATCACTCTTCTGCAATGCCTTTTCCTAATCTTGCCTATCACATGTCCAGAGGCGTAGATGTGCTGGAACACAGTGTACTGATGCTTCACCAATTTTTCCCCCAAATAACAAAATTCGAGCCAACATTCACAGCTGGCTCGATTGGTTATCACAGTTATTAAGACAGACAACAACAAAAAATGTGGGGTCAAAGTTGTGATCGTGGTATTTAGGGCTAGATTTACTATTCTGCACAGGTGCAAAAACTTCTTTTCACATCAAAAATCTTGTTTACCAAAGAGCATTTCCAAAAATGAACCATAGGGGTGGAAGGACTCACGGTGCACTAATTTATATATAAAGATGCAGTCTGTTCCAATATTCAACTACTAAGAGCCGCACAAATTAGTGGCTCCAAAGTTAGCACACGCAATGAGGGTCAAGTGATGTCCTAGTAACAGTAATATTGTGGAGGCTCAGGTTTTACACATCAGTTTCTCTATGGAAACAGTGTAGCACTTAAGATGAATGAAAGGAGGCTGAATGTTTATGATATGAGGGCCCTTTTTTTGCTGCAGCCTGTAATAAATAAATGTAGTATTACATAGTTTAAGATTCAAACACTGATAGTGACACACTAACAAAGTCCCATTAACAGCTGTGTGCACACTTCTGTAAATATTTTAATTATGTATCAATATTAAGGTAGAAATGCAACCGAAAGCCTGAAAGTTCAGCTCAGTCTATTTTGCTTGGTTTCATTCACATATTAACATCATAAGTGAAGAGCAGGAGGGGACTTGGCTCTAAACGTGCAGTGTGAGAACACGGGGAAGTTGCAGGACAAAGTTTTGGCACTGCACTCACAGCTGGAGCCATCTCCCAGAGTACCAGTTACTCACTCGTTCATTGAACACAAATCACATTAACTGTGACAACCGAACAACACATGCTTTTTTTTTAATGTTAAATTTAGTGTTAAACTGTTATGTTTGTGTTCTGAGAGGGAAATTCCAAAAGTAGCTTTTAAAGCACCCAAAGATGTTTTACTTTGGTGCAGACTGTCTGTGCAAACCACAAATCATTTAATATCCGTTTCTTTTTCTTCTGCTCTCAAATCTGTAATATACTATTGACCTTGTAGTACCATATCACCCTATTAGAGCGCTTCACTCTCGCTCTGCAGGCCTACTTGTTGTTCCTAGAGTATTTAAAAGTAGGATGGGAGGGAGAGCCTTCAGTTTTCAGGCCTTCTTCTTCTGTGGAACCAGCTTCCAGTTTGGATTCGGGAGACAGACACTATCTCTACTTTCAAGATTAGGCTTAAAACTTTCCTTTTTGCTAAAGCATATAGTTAGGGCTGGACCAGGTGACCCTGAATCCTCCCTTAGTTATGCAATAGGTGTAGGCTGCTGGAGGATTCCCATGATGCATTGAGTTTTTCCTTTCCAGTCACCTTTCTCACTCAACATGTTAATAGACCTCTCTGCTGAATCACACTTGTTATTAACCTCTGTCTCTCTTCCACAGCATGTCTTCATCCTGTCTTCCTTCTCTCACCCCAAGCAGTTGCAGCACATGGCCCCGCCCCCCTGAGCCTGGTTTTGCCGGAGGTTTCTTCCTGTTAAAAGGGAATTTTTTCCTCCCATTGTTGCCAAAGTGCTTGCTCATAGTAGGCACATATGATTGTTGGGGTTTTCTCTGTATGTATTATTGTAGGGTCTACCTTGCAATATAAAGCGACTGTTGTTGTGATTTGTGCTGAATTGAATATACACTACTGAAGTGTCAAACTGCTGCAGTTCTCTAACTCTGATATTATCTTTGTAAATGCATGCAGTAGAATTCAAAATTCACCAGAGAATAGGAGAGGGAGAGAGATGGCATCATAGTTAGGGAGTGCATGGACATCTATCCCACAGGAAGTAATGTGAAAAGAGAGAGTAGATGTGTCCGGGGAGGAGAGAGCGATGAGCAACAAGTAAGGAGTGATAAGCATGGTTAGACAGAAGACTTCATATATTTTTAAAGTCAGTTTGATCCCATTTGCTTAGTTATAGTTGAATAATGGTCAAAAATGTAGAGCTTTAGAAGCAGATAACTCAAAAGTGCCTGACTGATGTGCTCCACTACAAATAGCACTGCACCTCTGCACATGCCTGACCCGACTAAATTAGCTGACTGCTTTCAAAACCCACTACCACAGCTTATACTGCTCATTAAAGAGGGTCTAAATGGACAACAATCAGATATCAAAGCAAGATCCCCTTTGGTTGTGAACCAAATATTGCACATTTTGGCACCTGACCATGAGCCCATGTACACAGTGACAACACAGTGATGTTTGCTGGGCAGCTGCTGACCTGTTATTCCTGAATTACTACCTGGGAAGCTTCTCCAACTCACCTGGATGTTGAGACTACGCAGCACAGCGTTGATGCTGAGCAGGTTTCTGATGGTGTTGTCTATGTGACTGTGCATTGCTGTGTTGGTGACCGACGTCTGTAGCGTGTTGGGGGACTGTTGTAACAACCATAAGCCAGTCTGCACCTCCTGGGCTTGTTCCTGTGCCTTGCAGGAAAAAAAAACCGGGGGCAGGATTTAAAGACCGTCCCTATACTAGAACAAACGGAGCCAGTAATAATGATCAGATTAGAAACGAACAGGTACTACGGCTTTGCCCACAGGTCGACTGAATTTGATAGCTGATTTAAATCTGCTGCTTAACATCCAGCAGTCATCAGTGATTACTTACATTTTTCTTCTCCCATACATCAAAGTCTACTGTAGTCTGGGGGACGGTGACAGACTGGGACAGGCCACAGCCTTCTCTACATGACTTCTGCAAAAAGAGAGAGAGAGTATTGATGACTTCAGCAGACAAAGAGTCTTTAGAGGACAACATAAAGCAACCTTCAGCTGCTCTCAGGTTTTAATGCATGCATACATTTTCCTCTCACCATAGCACCTTCTGCGTCTCGTGCTTCCTGTATGAAATGGTTCAGGACCCTCAGGTCACAAATTGGCCTCAGTGGGGATGACAAGCCTGGCTGGGTCCAGTCCAACACTAACAACAGCAAGGCAAGCAGTCCTGCTTATCACACACAACGGACACACAAACACATTTCATCAAAGTCTGGCGATGGTTTGATACCACTTCACATGTCCAGTACCAGCACTGAAACTGTGACACTGAGTTTCTTCTGAGCTGAAAACACGTTTTACATTTTCATTAACAAAAGAAACGTAACTTAGTTTTCAAACCATCCGCTGTGTTTCTAATGATAAACCTGTCTTCATTGCATGTTGCAGTTAGGCATTTACATAATTTTTATGCTGAAATCATATCAGATTTTTCTCTACCATCCATATATACATCTTCAAGTTAACAGCATGGCTTGGTGCATAATTTGCACTTGTAAGAGGGCAACAGCTGTGAGAGAAAGTGTGGGAATACTGAATAATATAAGTTTAGTTTAAGACATAACAGCCATATTATAATCATGGCACTCAAGAGGACTTCAGATATATAAGGGATAAGCATAGTCAAATATAAGCACAATCTAAACTTTTGTGTGATATGCACATTAACAGTTAAGCATGGTTCATTGTTTCACTAACATTTTAAAATGTCTTTCTCATGCGGACTCTGCAGGTCACCCCTCAGGTAAAGAGCTGTGAGGCTGGTAATTTTCCATTTGTTTTACTTCTCTGCTTGTTTGTAGGTCAACTTTGACCATTCTTTCATGACATGCTTCACGTCAAAATAATATTTTATTTAGGGGAACAGGGAGAAGATGAGCCTCTTGATGTTTTTGTGCATCCGTCTAACCAGCATGAGCAAACAAACAGAAACCTAAATCCAGACCGATACAAAATATGAAGTAATCTAGTTCATAGAGCAGCCTAACGTAACCAGACAAACCAAGAGGCACAGGCTCTGATGCCAATGGCTGGGAAACTTTACAAAGAAGCAAGCAGAGCAAATGTTCTACATAGTCTTAAAGTAACACTTCTGCCCAGGTCAGGTCCATCATTCTGAAAACAAATTATAAGAAAAAATAAAGTATCTTAGTAAGATACTGTACCTCAGTGCTCCTTGGTACTGGTACTTCAACTATCTGTAACTCTACTGGAAGCATGGAACATTGATCCACCAAACGATATCGTCTCATTTGATGTTTGATCATCGTGTAGCACGCCAGCCCAAACTCTACCATTGGTGTCCGACTGGGTTAAGAGCTGGTGCCTACAAAGGCCACAGCAGATGATTTACAGAGATCTGCTGAGGAAACAAGTGGACCTAAACTATGCAAGCAACATAACCACCACTGGCTAACAGAACCAGGTCAGATCATCTCAGTGGAGCCATCCAGATTCTTTTTTTCCTCACTTATTACCCCTCTGGGAATTTTTGTACGTATAGCCGCATAGCCAGGGATCCTCCAGAAAAAGTAATTCTACCAAGTGATAAAATTGTGACAACTATTTTAAATACACAACTACAGAAGAGACATCAGCTAAAGGAAAATGCACTCAAATGCTGAAGAACACAAAACAATCTATTTATTTGTTGTCACACTTAATTCAGACCCCTGCTGTCCTGTGACCTGTGTTCAGTGTGAGAACATGTGAGGCTAGAGGACTGTGTCAGTTAGCCAACAAAAGCCTTTCTAGGAATAGTGTACCTAACTTTGATGCATTGCTACTGACTGAGCTGCTCAGTCTTAGTATGTGATGCATTACTGTTTAAGCTGTGTCACAACAGCATGATTCGGCAAATGAAACCATGTGATCTGCTGCATTATGAACAGAAACCTGCAGATACCATGACAGTGCAGGAATGACCTTGTTTAATCCTTGCTGTAACAGGGTATTTCCACAGCTGGGACATTAGTCAGCTGTGTTTCTAACTTTTTCCCATGAGCATAAAAGAAACTTGTCACATTAATAGAAATCAAACCACATTCTGAACTCTAACGATACACTTGGAAATCTTGAGGGTCATGTGGGCATCAGCCTTGTTCCTCTGTGCCACATGTTGAATGCGCTCTTTCACAGCAGCCTGGCTGTGTGACGCAAAAGCATGACAGAAAATACAGATGATTTTCCCAGGCAGATGGGGCTGATACAGGTCACATTAGGTTCTCAGACCTCCTCATAACTACAACAAATTGAGATGGTTTCCAATATTAGATGAAGTCTTTTGAAAGTGATAACACAAGAGAAAACATCAAGAAGAGGTCAACAGCCCTCTACACCTCCCGTTTTCCTCGTTGGCAGTGACATGAGGATTGTCAGTGGCACATCTGCTTCTATATAACTGGAATCTGGGCTTTTTCACCCTCAGTGACAGAAAGTTTAATTGTTATTTGAAAAATAACAACATATAGTTACCAGTGCAGTCTCTGATAAAATAACATATGCAAGTTTGAGAGGCAAACTGGTCTCTGCTTCTTCTTTTTTTCATCCGATCTGGCATTTGTTAGTGTGTGTGACTCAGCTTGAGGGTTATCAGCGAACTTTTCAACTCCACCACTGCCTACGTGAGAATTCATCAATCTAAAAAGTGTACGCACATGCATCCACTCTCGACTTTCTCACCACGATGGTGGAGTTTGCGGCCCAGGACTGCGGCCAGACTGGAAGTTAACAGGTTCGCCTGCCAACGGCTGCCAAAACCATGTTGCTATTTTAAATTGAAATCAGCAGTCCACAAGTGGCAGTACTTTGGATAATGGCAAACTTCAGGCCAGGTATGTGACAGATGCTTTGCAAACGTGACCGGCCGACTTAAAGTTGGCACTTTTGGTATGCGTTATTCTATCTAACTCTCACAAACACGTGCAAAAAGACTGTAGCATTTTAGATGGCACACAGGGCTGATAAGGAGATCCTATTTAAAACACATATCACCAGTGGAATGGTTGCTGCTGAATGCTTTGCAGTCTTCTACTTTGAACAGGTCTTCCACATGATAAAGTGCAGAGTTGTAAATAGGTAGCTATCAGATGACACAGGTCTGACATAATTTCCTGTTCTGCTGGAATCCCTTATAGCGGTCACCCTTTGATAACCCTTTGCTCTTTTCTGCTGACTTAAGTATGCGATGACTGTGCCAGAAAGCACAGATTCAGCTTGCATGTTTGAACATTTTCCAGTATGCTGTGTCACGCTAGAGAAACGCAGTGGAGATGGATTTCCCCAATGAACGAGACAAAAAAAGTCCTCAATACTCAGCACCTCATGTAGAGCAGCGATTTGCAGTAACAACTGCTTCATCAGCAGACTTTTTTTTGTCATAAACATGCATATTCACTCCATCATACATTTGTTCCACCAAATACAATTCATTGGCTTTATTTCATTTTTAAATGTTAGTATCTTAAATAATCAAGAGCCTCTGGGTGTATTACAGTCTTAAAGCACGGTTCAACGTATAACTATGCTACAGGGAGTAAAGCACAAAAGAAGAAAAATGACAATCCTGTAGCACAGGACTGTCATTTTTCTTCTTTTTCTTCTTTTGTGATCTGCGAAAAACCGGAAAAAGTAGCAACTTATCTCCAGATGCTTAAATCCCAAACCCCAGAACCAATATTCTTCCATACAGGATAAGCTGTACATCGAGAAGCCTAAATGCAAGCATCCATGTGTCATCAGCGTGATGAGCGTGTTCAAAAATGCCCAGCACAGAGACCGCTGTGGCACGCAGGTCATGCACACCAAGCGAGGCACCAAAATAGAAATCTCACATGCGCTCTTACCTCTACCTGTTTTCTGCAACATTCGCAAACAGGTGCAGCATCTTTAAAACACATCGTGAAACAACTAAACACATGCGCAGGCGTCACGATTCAGGTTCCGTCCAACAGATCCAATACACCACCAAGTGCGCTGGTCTCTGCGTGAATCCCGACCAGCGTGCAGGTCCGTGTAAAAAAATAGGTGCGTGCAGTCACCTTCCACACTTTGCATCACCGCTGTGCTTTGGCAAAACCTTTTATTTACCTCCCCCAAGGATATAGTGATAACGTGATAGCCCGCAAGAACGACTACGCGCCTTTCTACGTACCGCGGTGACATTAAACATCAACCCACCATGCAGTGACTCATTGCGTAAAGAGTGAAAATAGAGTAACTAGTAAAGCCAGAGTACAGAGAAAAAAACATGAAGGCATGCCCATAACTCACTGGGAAACTCCATAGCGGCATCCGCATAGCCCCTCACAGGGTCCTCGCGGTTTGGCCCATAGGTCCGTCTATTGCCCATTAATTGGAAACGAAGCTCTTTTGTGGATCTCTTGTGCACTTATCCGGTAGGTGTTTCTAAAAAGTGATGCCGTTTGATTTTTTTTATTGATGACTTTGAAAATATAGTTGCATTGTTTTAGTGATGACAATATAAGCCGCTCCTCCCTTAAGGCAAAATGTTTTCTTTCATCGTTATCCAAATAATAGCCCCATCGGTGTTTAGATAACAAAAAGTAAATAATGCCTCAAAAAAAGCCGCGCAGACACTTCCCATTCATTGTCTGGGTGCTTTCAGAAACGCTCATTAGAATATATTTATTGCCGAAAATGACAAAAGAAAACTTCAGAAATGCTTTCGTTTGTTTTCTCTTTCTTTGTTTTATACGCCGTTTTTCATTAAAAAAGCGTATTTGTTTTGAGGTGGAGTTTGGTAAAGAGGGACGGTTTTTTGGAAAGTTTACATACATTAGCAGCTTAACCCCCCAAAAGTTACGTTTTCTTAAACGACTTCTCTTTTGTTCTATGTTAATAGATTTTTTTCGGGTCTGTGTTTTTATGTTTCACAGGTGATTCTCACATAGACACTCTGTGCCCACCAGCCTGTGACCAGGTAAATTGGGTCATGTGTAAAATGGGCTGTTAAATATTTATCAAAGACAAATTTTGAACAAAGAAGGCAAATAGTTTATTTAACATTTAGATCTCAAGAGAATAGTGTTTGTGTTTATATTTTATGTAGAAATATATTATTAATCTATTTTGTGGCTTTGTTAGTTTCCATTGCTCTGTAATGAAGGATATTTGGTTTCACTTTCCCGTTTCTTGATATTCCTCTGCTCTTCTCATCCCATCTTCTAGCCACTGATTGTATTTCCTGTCTGAAGTGACATCCTGTCTCTGTTTTGTACCTTTCCCCCATTTTTTAACATTTCTTCCCTCCGGAAGAAAAAGTGATAGGCTTTTTTTTCTTTTTTAAAAAGAATTCCATCTACCTTATCCTCTAGCCTATCCAAACTGAGAAGTAAGGTGCAACCTGGATAGGTAATTGCTGTTTCTTAAGTTATTACGGAAAATATGTAGCATTTCAAATATCACTGCACTACCTATTTTATCGCCCCATCCCTGAGCTACCGTACCTTCCTTAGCAACCTTAGACCAATAAAACCAGAACACATCAAATACATTTTTGCAGCACCTTAAAAATATCTAAGTGAGGAGGGGAAATGAATCAAGTTTGTGTTCTTTTTGGTTAGCAGTGATTTTTCCTTGAAACTCTCAGATGGATGCCATTTTTGTCCAATCACGTTCTTTTTGTTGAATCATCAATACTGAACATAACTGAGGCAAGTGAGGCCTGTACTTCTTTAGACGTTGGTCTGGGTTCTTTTGTGATGTCCGGGATGCGTCATCGAAGCACTCTTGAAGTATTTTTGGTACGCTGGGAAGTTTCACCACTGTTCTGTGTTTTAGCCTTTTGTGGATGATGGCTCTCATTTTGGTTTTCTGGAGTACTGTTAATTAATGGTTAATCAAGGGGGACAATCACTTTTTTCACTCATGGTCAGTTGGTTTAAAAATGTTACATTTTTTGTTACATTTGTTAATCTCCCTGTTATCTACAATTCTGTTGCCATCTTTTATATTTGGGGGTCAGTTTGACTCAAAAATGATGCATTATTTATCCAAGAAGTTACCATAGCATGAAGAAGCATGAAACAAAACACACTTAGAAGGATTTTATTCATTATAGAGATGAAAAAAAGAAACAAAAAAAACATATAGAAAGTCAGTTTTGGCATTGTGTCAGACTGTTTAATAGTAGTGTTCTGTGGATATGAATGTAGATCTTTAAGACAGCCATCACCAAATGAACTTTATAATAGTATTCCAGATGTGGTCTAGGTGTCCCTCATCTCTCACTATGAATTTCAGCATGTCTTCACGTAAAGTAAATGCTTCTGAAGAATACTCCTTGCATTTAGATTTTCATAGTTCTGGTGCTTGCTGTATAGGAAAACTGGAAGCACCATGGCTCCGTGGGAGGACATTTTTCATTTCCTTGATGCAAAAGATAACAGTGACTTCATCAGGCAGTTTTCACTCTCCTCAACATGGTAATTCTTCGTATTCAACAGCTCCTCCTATAGCATGAGTCTAATACGTCACACATTGCAGTCACTTTGTCACTCTCTCTGGCTCTGCCTCTAATCAAAGCATATGGCTTGGGAGAGCACATGGAAGCCTGCAGAGACATGGTGAGTGGAAAGACTGACCTTCCCCTGTCAGCATTCCACAGCGTCGCTGCTTTCACCTTCTGACATGTACCCTCCTGTCCAAATGAGGAAACCACTGAAACTTTCAAGTGGGGCACAACCAAGTCTTTCCTACTGTTTCCATAAATGTGCCTATTTCAGCCTTGTTATCTCTACTTTTCACGATGCTGCTATTTATCTTGTATCTCGGAGATGGCTGATAGCTATGCTGAGAGTGGTCAAAGGAGCTTTGAAAGAAAAGCGTCTGGACTTCTTTAAGTTGCTTGAAGACGTTTCACCTCTCATCCGAGAAGCTTCTTCAGTTCTAAGGTCAAATGGCGGAGAGTCCCAGATATAAACCCAGTGGGAGTGATCCCCCCAAAGAGGGACAAAAGGACCCCCTGATAGTCCTCTAATCACATGAGCCAAGGTGTGAAAACGGGTGTGGGTCACAATCAGCCAGGGTTTCGGGTGAGCTCATTGTGAAACCTGACCCCACCTTATCATGCGATTTCCTGAGGTCAGATGGCCCAGGATGTCCCCAGACGCCTTAACGCCCACTCACATTTGACCTTAGAACTGAAGAAGCTTCTCGGATGAGAGGTGAAACGTCTTCAAGCAACTTAAAGAAGTCCAGACGGTTTTCTTTGAAAGCTCCTTTGACTTCGATGACCTGGATGACTGAGAACCTTCACAGACATATGCTGAGAGTGAAATATTTTTTTTGCAATTTTTGAAGGTAATGTAGCTGCTACGAGTTGAGTGACAGGAGGGACAACACTAATGCTCTCATTCTTATAAGATGAGGATCTCTCATAGTTAACATCTGCAACATTAGGCACATTCTTCTGTCAGTTTCATTATCCAATAGCATCTAGAAAACTGGAAGGTTTTCTATCAATGTGAGAGTTTGACGGGAGTACGCATGCATGCATGAAAGAATAGCACAGAAGCCTGTTGTGCAAGCTTTTATATAATTTCTTCTCGTCTATGATATTCAAACGATCACCTGCCAACATCAGAACAAATTTTACATCGAAACAGTTTGACACATATAAAACTTATTGCATGGATCTTCCCTCCACTGTGTTTGGCAACTCATTCCTAGTTCTATTACTACGAGATTCATTAGGTCAAGCACTTGAATCAAGGCAGCTCTTTAGGAAGGCATGGTCTCACTGTGCACATCTTGTAACCTCCAAATTGGTAGACAATGTAGTACATAGCTCACAGGAAAGTATAACTTTCAACACCCCCAACTTCCCACAACCAGTGACATGCATCCTCAAATGTTACAACTTGCACTCATTCAGGAGGAAATTCTGAATGTCCTTCACGTCACTGTAAAAACAAACAAACACACATAGAAAAATAAAGAACAGACTTAAATGCTGAAATAGTTCTTTGTACAAGTTCTAGCTTTACATTCAGCAGGTTGTCCTTACCTGTGATGAGTGGGAGACTCTTAGCTGCCATTTTCAACTTGATGATTCTCAATGGAGAACTTTTGCTCTTTCCACCCAAGAAGCCTCGACTCATCTCGTGGAAGTAGAAATGTTTTGGAACTTTATAAATAATTTCCCTTTTAGTATAATAAAATTCTCAATTTTCTCGGTTTTTGAGACATCTTAATTTTTTTTACTATGTTTAAAACTAGTTCCATTTAATCAAGTGCACAATGAGCTTAGTGTTATTTAGTCATTTAAGCTACTTATTGCTTTACAAAGTCTGTTAGCATGTGTTAACCTGAACTTACATTAAATATGCAAAAAATTTACAAAGATTTGGTGCATTTCTCTCTCCAGTAGAGTTCAGAGACTAGATAAAAAATAGTCAATTGTACCAACCATCACAAACCTCTAAAAATTGGAAAATAAAATCCCTATGAACACTGTTAATCTTGAACATTACTTAATCTGTGGAAGGTAAGTAAAATTTGTTGTGAATAGTGCAGTCGAGCACCATTCACAACAAATTTTACTTAAGATACTATTATGCTGCTGCAGCAATACCATTTAAAAATCACAACACATTCAAATTAATTAAGTTCTAACCCCACCATGACCACAACCTATTTAAAGTTTCACTGAACTACATACAAAAACATAAATCAAAACTGACCCAGGCACATGGAAGAGCAATCTCATCCATCATCTAAACAAAGCATCTGCTACAGGAAGGTGAAGGCTATTTAAAGGAAAGTGTGAGTGGTGGAGTTCATTCATGATATTCTTAGAATAGTTTTCATTCAATATGACTTCCTCATGAGACAACGAAACAATCAGAAGTAGGACAAACATTAGGAACCAGAATGGCGTTACTAATTCTGTGCACAATAATGAATTTAATCAGTTTTATTTACTAAATAAGATCAAATTGATATTATGTCATGTGAATTGTAACGATTCAGCTCAATGCAGGTCTGTTAAAAATGTTATGCAGCACTCATTCTCTGCACTTCAGTCAGGGGTATTTGTGTCCAGTGCCCTCGTGCTGACAGTCCCTTTGGAGCCAGAGTATAGGAAATATATTGAAATTTCCTGGAAGTCCC